AGTTAATCCTAGGATTAATATTACAAAGTTTATTTTATTACTTTAATGAGTTTGAAAGTACGTTTTGAACAGTTGTTGATAATAATAAGTATTAGCAAACATTTATCCATGTCCATGATTATGTATTTGAAGTGATTTAGATAATTTAAATTATTGAGGTGTTATCTTTTCATATTGACAAAAATAAACATGATTTGAAATGGTCAGCTTTATGAAGCATTATTTAATTATTTTTATATCAAATACTAGGAATATTCAATCCCTTTGTTTGTGTTATAAAATGAACCATTTACTAATTGGATATTAGTTATTATTATCATGATACATTTAAATTATTGTCTTGTTATACTCTTAGTGTTCTAAACAACATACAAGATATTCACCTCTTTACTTTTACTCCCTCCAGTTAAAATATAAATATTTTTTTAACTAATCTTGATTTAAAATATAAGCAATTTAGTACATGTAAATTTTTTTTTTCATTTTACCCTTTATATGTATTAACTTAGATATTTTTGTAAATATATTTCTTACTCATCATAAAGTGTATTCGTAATTGGGACCAAGGGTAAAAAGATATGTGTATTATATATATATATATATATAGGAATGAAGATTTTATTGATATATAAATTTTTTTTCAAAAACTGCTTATATTTTAAAGTTTGGATGAGGAGTAGCATTTATAGATTGAGGAGGTAGCCCTCATATTCTATTCAAATAAGTTAATTAATTGTTTTAAATATTTTTTTATGATATAGCTCTTGAAAGAGATTTATTGAAATTATTTTATAAAAAAAATTCATGATTGAGTATTATAATGTCATTTGTTGTTATACTTGTAAAAACTGTATTGTGTTGGTTTTTTTTATGTAAATTGAAAATTAACAACAAATAATAACATTAAATGAATAAAATGAGAAAAAAGGAAGAATGGGTTTTTATAATAAAAAATGAAAATATCTTCATAAATAAAATTAAAAAAGTATTTTCTTTTTTCATAACCTCCAAATCCCCACAATAATAATTCTATCAAATTAAATGCTTTGATTTGAATATGAAATAATTAAGGCAAACATCAAATGAAAGTTATTAAGGTTTTGATTTGATTGGGTCATTGATGAGAAGAAATGGTAATTGGCTCTATAAAAGGAATATCAAGGAGAAGAAGGAGGGAAAGAAAACATTTTGGAAGAGAGGAGGCACAAAGTGAAAGAGAAAAGGAGGGATAGAAAATTTAGAGAAAGCGAAAGAAAGAGAAGAAAGAGAATAAGATAGTGGGGTTGATTCTGGTTGGTTTCTCTGTGGTATTAAAAATCAAATCAAATTAGCTGATCTAACTAGCAAACTGACTACATGTTCAGTCCAGTTCACTATTTTTTGAGGGAAGGAGTCAACGTGAGTTAATTCGTGTGACTCAAGAAAAACTCAAATCAGACCGCTCAATCTTGTGATTTAGGCAAGTTGAGCCAATTAATTTTTCCCTCCTCTCAAACAGCTCAAAACAATGCTTTTGGGATATAAAAAATTACAAAAAATAGATGCTTGATCCTAAAATATGATGTTGTAGATGACTTTGAGGAATTGGAAGAAAGAAAAGGAGGAAGAAGATAATAGACAACTATTAATTATAACTTGGAGATGAAATTTTGAAAAGAAAAAAAGTTGCAAAGAAGACAATGCAAGCGAGATAAGGGACTAAAAAAATTATCACACATGTGTATTTGTGGTTTGCTGTTTCAAATCCAATTGAAAAGGCATCAACTACCCATACTATTGCGAAGAAACTAAGAGGATGAAGAAGAGATGAGGATTGACTCAACAATGGCAGTAAAGAAGAAGAGAGATGAACTTTAAAAATGAAGAGAAAAAGCTAAAAAACTAAGATAGAAAAGGATAGAGTACGTTTCTTTAAGCTGCAACAAACATTTATTTGTCAGAATATGCATACCCTTGAAGAATCAATTTGAATGACATTACCTCCCTATCAATCAACTTTTTTTTTTTTGTTTACTTACTCGCATCAGGTTAAATTTGTTTTTTTTTTTAAAGAAAACAGTCAATTAGTATTGGTAATTTTTTTTGGGGGCCATCAATTAGCATTGGCATTGTGTCTGGATACTTCTTTAAAATCATAAATTAATGAATATGGATAGGTCTAGGCAGAATACATATTTCCCAAAAAACCTAAGATGTAATTTATAAATATTACAATTACAAATATTTTATTCCCCATAATTATTACGTTATATTCATAAAAACATTAAATGAATATTGTATGAGACATGCATTGAGGTTTGGACATGAATGAATGAATATTTCAAGGATTAATATATTTTTATTTTAAATTATGTTATTTTAATTATAATCGATTTAATTCAGTTGAACTCCGACTGAACCTTTGATTTCAAAACTCTCATCTTGATCCATTTAATGATCAATTTTATTTGTAGTACTTTGAGTTTCTCAACATGTTTTGCTTCTTCATGCTTGTCAGGTAATGATTTTGATTTTGAGTTTGGGTCTGGCATGTTTTTGGATCTTCATATATTGTCCCTTTTTGTGATGCGCAGACTGCTTTAATCATTTCACCCACTCCCCAGGCTTGGTGGTGCATCGCAGTTGTGCTGATATCAAATCTGGACATTTGAATATTTGAACTGGGTTTAAGTGAAGACTCAATTATGTCATGAGTCTTGAGATGTTGGCATGTTCCCGTGATTATCCATGTTTTAAAAATTCATTCAAAAATGAGAAAAATGCTCATAAATCATTTTATTTCATCAATCAATCATAAATGATTTTTCATAATCAATATTAATTCCACTAAAATGTAATCTTATTAATTTGCCATGAGTGATTTAAGTCATTGTAAATCCCTGAAAATATCTAATGAGAAACCGTGAATAATATTAAGTCATCATAGGTTAAAAAGAATAAAATTATTGTCTATGTTATGAGTAATACTAAGCTATCATGAATCTCTAAAAGCATCAATTGAAATATCGTGAATTACACTAAGTTTTATATATATATATATATATATATTATATATATATTTTAAATTATTGGCATATTTTTATGTTATGCTATAAGTGATACCAACTCACTATGAATCCTTAAAAGCTTTAATTTTGATACTGTAAATAATACTAAATTATTGTAGGTATCAAACTTCATACTGAAATTTTTTGATTAGATTATTTTCTAGAAAATTCATTTTATTCTTTTAGGATTTGTCATAAGTGATATTAAATAATCGTGTGCATTTAGAATATGAACTAGTAAACTCTGAGTGATATTAAATTATTGCAGGTTTCAATGCTGGTTAAATTATATTTATTTATTTTTACTCAGTGGCATTTTCTTGGAAAAAAAATTTTATTTAAAAAAATAAATTTAATATAACCCGAAATATCATTCTTCTCATAAAAAAATTTAATTAAATGAATTTAAAAAACTTAAATAATAATATCTCAAACTATGTAGATTTTGATTCTTATTTCAAGGTGCATAGACTTTAGACTTTGATCCTAGGTTAAGTCTTTTCATGTAAATAAATAATTTTTTCATTAATTTTTTTATCTTTACTTTGCATGTGATTCTAAAGGATAATTAAAGAAATTAAAAGGTCAAGTTTAATTTTATACAATCAATTTATGATAATCATTCTTGTGAATGGGTGTCGTGAGATATCTAGCATCATCCCCACTTGCAATCGACTCCTAAAACTTTTTTGAAAATCATTCTTTTTTATTGTATTGTTTTTCAAAGTTTTTCTAAAATCTTTGATAGCGACTTTCATTTTTTTATTTTTATCAATTTTTCCTCTTCAAGAAATCAAGATCAGGGCACGACAATACCACTTAGTAGCATTTTTTTCTTACCAATTGTAATTAGAAAAGTATATATTGGTTAGATTTATTAAGCAAGGTTAACCTTATATTTAATACCATTCACGTTCGGTCCGGTCATGTGGGGTGACATAAATCCAAACATTTTGTTAGTCTATTCTCTCGGTTACTCCCCTCAGTATTAAAAGCATACAGCAAAAATAATGGATTAAATGATAATTTTACTTTCAAACTATAGATCTCAGAATGTTTGACTCAAATTCATTTTTGGTGTAACGGTTTTGTTTGAAATTTGAAAAAAATATGTATATTTAATAAGGATAAAGTTAAAAACTTATTGAATTTTTAGATCGAGTTTATAAAGTTTAATGTTTTTCTTAATTTATATGAAATATGTTGAAAATGACTTATAAATAAAATTAGAGAAAGTATTTTTTCAAAATATTTTTTATTATGGAACACAAAATCAATTTAAAAAAATCTTATAAAAGGGGAAGAAGGGAGTGTTTATTTTGTTGTAACACTTAAGTAAGGTTGACAAGTTATAAAAAATATTTTTAACTGCTTGTTTGGTTGAGGAGAAATGGAAGAGAAAAGGAAGGAATATTTAGATTAGTTTGATTTAAAAAAGTCCACAAGTGGAGTTAGAATTTTTTAATAGAAATAAGATGTGAGAGAAAAGGATAAATAAAATTAATTAAAAAAATTTTAAACTCACTTCTCTAATCTTTTTAAAATTAAACTTATTAAAATCTTTCCTTTCTTTCTCCCTTACCTTGACACAAATCCTGTTCGCTAAACATATTTTTATACTTTCTGTTAAAAAATATAAAGTATTTTTAATTAAATATCACCCCTATAAAGTAATTACTTGTTTCTAAAATTAATACTATTTTTTATATATATACTCTTATTTAATATAATGTTTCACTTTAAAATAAATATGAAGTTATTTATTCATTAAGAATACTTAGAAAAAACAATAACTATAACTGAAAATATTAAAAATGTCTTATATTTTTAATATTATATTTTTTTAAAAATATTTTATATTTTTAAATGAGTGAAGTATATTTTATTTTATATATATATATATATATATATATCAGAAGTAGAATGTTGAAGGCACGAGGTGGTATACAACAATACAAGAATACAAGTGATGACGTGGCGGAAAAAAGAAGGGCGTTAACAAAAAGTTAAGAAACGAACCGTTTGGGACGTGGTGTCGTTCTGGCCTGGGGACGGCAGATCAGCGTTGAACACTGAAGCAAGTAGAATTCGAAGTTCAGGATGTGAAATGAAGCTTGCGTTTGCCATAAAAGGAATCTTACGTCATCCTACTCACAGACTTTGTCTTCAATGGAGGTTTCTTCAGTGTGCCGTTCCCCAAGTTCAACATCCCTCGACACCCTTGGAACCGTTGTATCTCACTCACAGCAGTTTCGACTCAGTTCAATATATCTCCTCGCTCCCATCTTTCCATCTTCTTAGCATTTGCAGAAATATCAATTCTCTCAAGAATGCCCACGCCTTGCTTCTTGTCCACGGCCTCACTGACGATCTTCTCTGCGTTACCAAGCTGGTTAGCCTCTATGGATCTTTCGGGTTCGTTCAATATGCTCGCACGGTGTTCGACCGAATTCCAAGCCCAGATTTTTATTCGTGGAAGGTGATGCTCAGGTGGTACTTCTTGAATGATATGTATTCCGAGATTGTTCCCTTCTATACCCGCATGAGGGTATCTGTCCAAGGCCACGACGAGGTGGTTTTTACTTTTGTCTTGAAAGCTGCTTGTGAGTTGCGTGATGTTGTTGAAGGTATGAAGGTACACTGCCAAATTGTTAAAACCAACACCATTGATAGTTTTGTGCTGACGGGTCTACTGGACATGTACTCTAAATGTGGAGAAGTACAACGTGCACGAGTTGTGTTTGACGAAATGTTTGATAGCCATGTGGTGTCTTGGACCTCTATGATTGCAGCATATGTGCAGAATGATTCTGAGGAAGAAGGGCTGGTCTTGTTCAATAGAATGAGAGAAGGGTTTATTGCAGGCAATCAAGTTACTGTGGGAAGTTTACTCAAGGCATGCACGAAATTAGGATATCTGCATCAAGGAAAGTGGGTACATGGCTACGTAATTAAAAATGGAATTGAAATGGAACATTTCTTGGCAACGTGTCTTTTGGACATGTATGTTAAGTGTGGGGATATCAGAGATGCTCGTTCTGTTTTTGATGAGCTTTCGACAGCTGAACTTGTTTCCTGGACGGCAATGATTGTTGGGTATACTCAAAGAGGTCACCCGGATAAGGCATTGGAATTGTTCGCGAATGAAAAATGGGCGTGTCTTATGCCCAATTCTCTTACCGTTGCAAGTTTGCTTTCGGCATGTGCACAACTAAGTAATACAACTATGGGAAAGTCACTTCATGTACAAATAATTAAGCTTGGTTTGGATGATCCTGTAGTGAGTAGTGCTCTTGTGTACATGTATGCCAAGTGCCATATGACTGCTGATGCTCGTGACATATTTGAAACCATAACCCATAGAAGCGTAATATCTTGGAACTCGATTATTTCTGGTTATGCCCAGAATGGTTCTGCACATGAAGCTCTTGGGCTCTTTAAACGCATGAGATTAGCCTCATTTTTGCCGGATGCAGTCACATTGGTCTGCACCTTCTCATCTTGCGCTTCCCTTGGTGCTCTTGAACTCGGTTCTTCTCTTCATGCCTTGTCTCTAAAATACGGAACAGTATCATCTAGCGTCTATGTTGGCACGGCACTTTTGAATTTCTATGCAAAATGCGGAGATGCAAAATCAGCTCGTGCGGTGTTTGATGAGATGAGAGACAAGAATTCTGTCACATGGAGTGCGATGATAGGTGGCTGTGGCATGCTAGGTGATGGCAATGCGTCTCTTGCACTCTTCATGGATATGTTGAAGGAGAACTTGGAGCTCAATGAAGTGGTCTCCACAACTATATTAACGGCATGCAGCCATGCAGGAATGGTTGGAGAGGGCCTCAGGCTTTTCATTTTGATGTGTAAGGAACTGAACTTTGTTCCTTCCATGAAGCATTACACATGTATGGTTGATCTTTTAGCACGTTCTGGAAACCTTGAAGCGGCATTGGAGTTTATTAACAAAATGCCTGTCCAACCTAATGTTGGAGTGTACGGAGCTTTTCTCCATGGATGTGGACTTCATTCAAGGTTTGACTTGGGAGAAGTTGCCCTCAGGAGAATGTTGGAGTTGCATCCTGATGAATCTTGTTACTATGTGCTCATGTCAAACTTATATGCCTCTGATGGGAGGTGGAGCCAGGTTAAGCATGTGAGAGAGTTGATGAAGCAGAGGGGATTGAACAAAGTCCCCGGACGCAGTGCAGTGCAGATGGATATCAGCAATGATGCATATGACAGCATGGCAGCTTTTGCCTAGTCATATATATATGCATCATTTTGTCGGAATAAAGATGTTGGAAACTGGTCAGGCTATGAAGAGTTTTTACAACTTGGCAAATGGCTTAAGTGAAATAACGGAAATTCTAGCACCTGAAATATTTTTTTTAGCATTCATTATAAATTTTATGGTAGCATAGATCTGTAAATGAGCGACTTATAGACGGTTAAATGAATCAAATTATCTGTAAATCTTATATCTTGCTTGTTAGTGTCCTAAAGAGCATTATGACCTAAACTTTCTCAAACATGATGTTATGGGAGAGATGAGGCACTGTTACTAGACAGCGACTGCTAACTCGTAAACAATATTATCATAAGAACCCATACGATCTTTATACATTCGACTATAGAACCCTACATCACATCCATGTTCCCGTGCCAAACTTTGGAAATTTTCCAAAAACATGTAAATTTCTTTAATTTGCCATTCAGAAGTATCTCCAGCTCCAAATCTGTAGATTTTATTTTCAATCTCAATAGTGCTGTATCCAGGGACCTTCTGTAGGCCTATTCCCTCCATCCTTGATCTCACCTTTCTGGACTCAACCCAGTTTCCTTCTTCTGCATATATATTAGATAATAAAGTATAATATCCTGTATCATCTGTACTAATTTCCCCAAGCTCCCTTGTGATGCTTCTAACCAAGTCCATCCTCCTGTGTATTCGACATCCATTAAGCAGAGCTCCCCATATGCTAGCATCTACAGGTAGGCACATTGATTTTATCATGTCATATGCCCCATTGATATCACCAGCTCGGCTCAGAAGGTCAACAATAGAGGCAAAATGCTCTGTGTTTGGCTTAATGCCATAATCTTTCATAGACTTGAAATATAACTTACCTTCTTCCACTGATCCTGCATGACTGCAGGCAGACAAGATGTTCATGAAGGTTATTTCGTTGGGTTTTATACCTGACTCTACCATTTCGGTGAAGAGCGAAATGGCAGCATTTATTTGACCATGTATACCATAACCAGAAATCATAGTACTCCATGATACCACACTTTTCTCGGACATGCTATCGAAAACTCCTTGGGCTGTTCTAAGGTCTCCACATTTGGCATACATGTCAGTTAAAGTTGTATCTATATAAAGATCCTTCCTTACGGCCCATGTAATGATCTTATGGTGAATCCATTTCCCCTTCTCTAGATAACCCAAATTGGAGCAGGCTTGAATTGCACTTAACAAGGTTACTTCATTGATCTCAAGACCCTTAAAGTACATTTCATCAAATAGGGTCAGTGCTTCTACCGACATGCCATTTTGAGAAAAACCAGACATCATACAGTTCCATGTCACAACGCTTTTCTGTGTGATCTTTTCAAAAATCATGCATGCCAAATCCACAAAGCCACATTTGGAATACATATCGATCAAGGAGTTATGCACAAACTCATTCATCAACCCTCTTTTTAACACATGGCTGTGTATCAGCTGTCCAAATTGTACTGAGCCGACATTTGCACTTGCTGAAATTGAACTTGCTAGGCTAAAAGAATCTGGCATTATCCCTTGTCTCAACATCTCTGCAAATAGTACCAAGGCATTCTCGCATAAACCCTCCCGAGCAAAAAGTGAAATGAGTGTATTCCAAGTTATAACATTCCTGTTTCCAATTAGATGAAGAAGTTTCTCACAGCAACATCTTTTCTGACAAGCAGCATAGAAATATATTAGTGCAGGCCCTAGGTCCAAATCAGAATCCATGGCTTTTCTTAAAATAAAGCAATGAACTGACTTTCCCTCTCTCAGACAGCGTAGTCTAGCACATGAGTTTAGAATACTGATCATTGTCACTGCATTTGTTTCCACTTTTGATCCCTGCATTCGGATAAAAAGATTAATGGCTTCTTGGAAGCATCCACTTTGATTATACGATGACATCAAGGATGTCCAAGAAGCAGTACTTGGATCAACGAGGTTCTCAAATATTGTTTCCGCACCCCATAAGTAATCACATTGGCTGTACATAATCAGAAGAAAGTTATTCAAATTTCTATCACTTTCCATTTCTTTTCTGATCACATGTCCATGGACAGATTTTGCTAGCGTCGGACAACCAAATTTGGCACAAGCCTCTGCGACACTAAGGATGGAGACTGAGTCAGGCTCAATCCCTTCCGAAACCATAGAACGAAACGCCTCCAATCCTTCTCTTGCCTCTCCATTCTCAACGTAAGATGAGATGATAGAACTAAATGAAACCACATCCCTGTCACGCATTTTATCAAACACCTTTCGAGCATCACCTAAACTGCACAGTTCACCGTACATACCAAGCAATGAAGTCTCGATAACAGTATCACTATCTAAGCCGCACTTAATTATCCTCCCATGAACCTTCTTACCCACACTCATGTCACCAATTCCAGAAGCAGCACGCAGAACAGACGGATATACGAATCTGCAAACATGGGTCTGCAAAGAAATCATGTGATGATAAAGTGAAACAACATCCTCAAAGAAGTTGTTCCACAAGTGACATTTCATTATCACGCCCCACATAAACGAATCTGGCGACGTAAAGGTCCCGAAGATAAGTCTTGAAGATTGGAGGGAGCCCATCTGGGCGTAAGACTCGATGAGTTTGGTTGAAGCGAGTGGGTTCTTGTGGAGGCCGGTTACCACAAGGTGAGCATGGAGCTGGGTGAGTGACCATAAGCTAGAACACGACCTGAATAATGGCATGTATTGCGTCATTTTTTCTGCTAGTCAACCATGAAAAACTGGTTCTTTTTGCAATCAGTACTTATGATTTCTCCTCGATAACGTGAATTGTTTTATTTCTGAGTAGGTTGGGATTCTGATGATCAGTTGCTACGCACCGAAGACGAACCCGATTAGATTGTGTTTACTTCATTGAAGAAAACGAAGAACATGAAGTCACGACCCATGATAGTACGGTCTCCGAAGGAAAAGAGAATCCAGACCCGTGAAGTACAGCTTATCAGATAGAAAGGTAAGAGCGGCTCTAAATATTTATCAATTTCTTTTATCAACATTAAGCGGAAAAATTACTGAAAAAGGTAACCATCCTGAAAGATGATTTTTTTTAAGCACTCCTTTGGCTAAAAAATATAGAATATTTTTTGATAATTTAAATATTTAAAAATATAAATTTGCAATATTTTAAAATATGATTATTATATTTTTTTAAAAATGACATAGTAAGAAATTACTTTCTATTTGTTTTAAAGTTGAACTCTTTATTAAATGAAAGTAAATATAAAAAAATAATGTTAATTTAAAAATAAATAATTACTTTCTTTGTTTAAAAATAAAAGTTATTTTTAATCAAATCTCATCTCCAATAAAGTAGTTACATACTTTTAAATTAATTTTATTTTTTTATATTTATTTTTATTAAACACCCTATAATAAATATAAAATCATTATCAATAGAGGCATTTTTTATAAAAAAAGATAATGATTATATCTTAAAGACTAAAAATACCTTATATTTTAAAATGTCTAACTTTTTAAAAAATATCTTACATTTTTTAATGAAGAAGTACTTTATTTGAGTTTGAGATTTGGTTAAAGATACTTTATATTTTTGAACGAAGTGAGTATTTGTGTAGAAAAATGACTTCAATTAATTTTTATCCTTGAATTATTTAAACTATTTGAGATCTATTTTTTTTTTCCATATGGATCATCAGTTCATCACTATAATATTGGAATTTTTTTAAAAATAATAAAGTTAATTTACTTTTTTTTGTGGCAGGAACTTAACCGTGAAATTTGAATGAAATAACAATGCAAAAAATTAAAAGGAACGAAATCCATTACATATTTCTCTCCCAACACCAACCCCGCAAACATTTTCTTTTACCTGATAATGGATCTGAGAGTAGAAAAAAATATATATTTAGACTGTAAGAATGAATATCATAATACCGTATTTATAATTATTATATCCAACCACAATCAAAGTGCTTTTCTTTAAAATATAAGAATATAAGAGAAGTAAACAAATGTACCGTGAAAATTGTCCAAAGAAATTTGATCACATTGAAAAACCAGTGTACAAAGACTAACCCGTACTGTAATTCCTGATCTCTCTATGTATATACATGAGTATACCATGGAGGCTTTGAAAAACTTCAATAGTAAATACAAATAGGTTTGGTTTAGATGGAAGACAACGTGAAAAGAAAATAGGAAGGAGTGAATACTATATAAAAAAACTATAAAAAATAGTAAAAACTAAAAAGACATTTTCTTCTTAGTCTTCATTTTTTTCTTAGTTTTCTCCCTATCCAAACCAAGGGAAGATGGGCGAGCGCAAGAGGAAGTCATTCTTGAGGGACCAACAAAAGGTCAATGAGTTTTCCAGCAAAGATGATCAAATGACTCTCTTATATTAAATTGGGATTATTAACCTTAGATCTGCCTTCATCTTCATTATTTGGTTGGTCAATGGGTATTTCATGCCTTGGTCTGTTGTGCTTCTCCCTCAGTTGCTTAACTGGGATGTAGTCTCCTGCTGAATCCATACCATAGAATAGACTTGCGATATATGGATGATCCAACCTACTTTGCAAAACAGTTAACACCACCAATTCAAATCACAATAATGTTTATAGCATAGTCCATGTCTTTAATTGATATAGTGTTTAAGATGACCAAGTTAAATCACACAAAATATACCTTTCAATGAGAGACTTTTAAGTATAAAAGATATGCAGGAAAAATATATTAGAATTTTAAGAAAGTTGCAAAACAGAAACTCATTATAAATTATATGTTTAAATAAATAGTTTAAGATAGAGTCAAATGACATTGTGACTTTATTTAATAGAATAAGGCCTTATTAATTACCCAAAAAAAAAAAGATTTATTGTTGTTGTAGTCTATCGTTTCTAATGACAAATATCTATTATAAGATTATCTCACCATGTCAGTGCATCAAGGGCTAAAAGATTCTCCTCGGGAACTGCAAACGAAGTGAAAAGATAAGTCTCCTAGTCATTGTCCTCAATTTACATCAAGGGCAAGAAATCAAGAACTAACTAGAAAAGTGCATAAGAAGAAATTGTTTGTCAACGTGAAAAGGCATAAAAATCCAAGGAATTGAGTAACCAGATTTACCATATGCCACCAGTAGATTTGGATCAACATGTACGTCAACTAGAACCTAGATAATCACATAGAGGAGGAAGAACCAATGAAAAAGAATAACAAGAACCGTTCTTAACTGCCAACTTAACTATGAACCAAATGAGACAAACTGTTCTGGAATTAACCGTGCTCCAAAAGTCACACTCATAGAACAATTTATGCAGTTCATGAGATGAAGTCAATCAAAACCTGATAAAATGGTTGAGATGAGCCACGGGACAACTTCTGAACCTTTACAGTTTCCATCCATGAACTTGATTCGCAGCATACTGGATCCATACCACATATCACGCCTATGTACTCTGCAAAATATATTGAATAATCAAAATGAGTGAAGAGGGAGGGAAAGCAAGTCTTTGGCTTTTAGGATAACGCAGTACACTTGAAATGCATACGGTGGAATCTGTGATGTACAATGGAAGGCATGTCAACTACGTACTATATACTTTATGCCTCACTTTCTGGCCCAAACGGAATGTGTATTGTGCTTTTTCATATGCCAAAACTTTAGCTGATGCAGCCAGGGTCTCTGCTTCGAGTTCAGAAATTTCATCACGTAATGTAGCAGCCAACTCATAATCTTCACTCGCAATTGCATTCTGGAGGTCTGAACTGCAAATGAGACGTATATAGTAGTTATCATTATTCATGTTGGTTTAAAAAGTTAGATAAAAGCAGCTGTAGGGATCCAAGGATGAGAAAAGAGCAGGCTCACCGGAGACGTATCACACTTAAAGCTTTATCTTGAGCTTCACTTTTTGAAGGCAATCCCCGCTTTTCCTCTTGCTGTTTGATGACCTCTGCTTCAACCTTCAAAAAATACTACTTATTAAGCAATCCCACTTTGAGAAATTTTAGATAAAATGGAGATAAAGAAAGCATAAAGGGACAAACTCATTCACAGATCACAATCTTTCGAGTTACATATTATTGTTGCAGTCACATAAAAAATCACGTATAGCATTTTTTTTTTTTAAAGTGAGATTATAAATTTCAGATTCAAGCAGACTACGCAAATATTTCAGCACACACTCCTTGATAATATGATATCAAACCAGGATTAGTAGCTAAGTTATCTAACCTCAGAAAGTCTGTTTCTCAGTTGCTGTGCCATGTCGTACTGCTCCACGTTCAAAAGATACTGCAGTTCAGAAGTTGAAACCAACAAACAAACAAATAGTTGGGAATTTTTAGCATAAATTCAAAAGATGCATTAAATTATAAAGCTGATTAAAAGGGAGTAGAGGCAACCAAACCTGCACTCTAGTGGCCATGCTTAGCTGGAAAAGTAAGATTGCAATATCATCATAAGCCAATTCACTGCTCTCTGCACTTGCTTCAGATTCTCGTTCTCTCCCTCTAAAGAACCATGCTGCTTCAACCTTAAAACTATTGAACTTTGATGCTCTCAAGAACGATCTCTGCTGACACTGACTCCAAACGCAACATCTTTCATTGATGAAACTTATCTGGAATTTCTTAAATGGTCTAAAAGGGGCCGTCCAAGATGGGGATGATCCATAGATACTGCTTTTTCACAAGTTGTCAGAGTGTTCAACGACACACCTTGCACCATTCTTTAATGCCAACAAAATTCTTCCCTCGACACACAAAAAGGGTAAACAGAACCAAAATTAATCTTTTGCTTGCAGAAATGTCCACTTACGTATACTGATGTTTCCAGTAAAGATAAGATATTTCGAAGCTTCTAAACGATAATTTGCAGTCACATCCAACAAAGAATGTGTGTGTGTTTAAATAACACATACAGGATATTATAGTCGTCCCGTTTCCTCAATGATTGGGTAATTGTGGAAACCGAGGATTAGGAATGAAAGAAGAGCATATAAGTATTAAGTATCATGAGCTTTACTGCTTCATTTTTCCAAAAATCAAAGATGCGTTTCGAATGCGACTGTTGTGAGCAAAGATACAAAATGCAAGTTTGCAAATGATATTCGTCGGAGAAATGAAACAGGTAAAAACATTTGCAGTGTAATCCCTCGGACAAATAATCAGTCGATTAATCATTAATTTCGCACGAAACGAATAGAAATTCGACTAACCAACCGATTCCAATTTCCAACAGGGAAGAAGTCAAATACGAGAGAAATTATAAACACAACGTTCGAGAGCCTCACAATTTGAGCTTGAAGGAGCAAGGAAAGCAAACTTGGGCCACCGAAACGAATGCAGACACTTATTCCGACCCAATTATGAAATCCAAAATGCAAATTCCGATAAGGGTAAATTTATGTGGAGATGTGATTTTCACATACCCATATAGTGTATTTAGATTTAAATTTGAATATATTATCAGATTTAATTAAAAATAGTTTTTTAAAAAATATTTTTTACATTCACACAGATTGAAATTTGAGAACTCACATTATAACTCCTTCTACTAAGATCAATGTGGTTAGGAACATATTTTTATTGAAATAAAAATTAGATATAATCTAAAAATTAATTAATGCTATGGCATAGCTAATTTTTTAAACATACCATTAAGAGGCTTATGTAAAATTTGTACGTTCTTATCCCATTTTATAAGATATTTTATTAGAGTGACTTGATGTTTAATAATATAAGGTATTTTGATATAATAATTTATTAACGAAGCTGATTCTGAAATTGCCTCTCATTATTTCACTCATTAAATATCTTTCTCTCCTCATCTTGTAAATTTCTTATCCTTTTTTGAGAAATTAAGATTTCAATATGCATTTAATTGAACTAATTGATACTCAGAGATTTACCAAAAAAAGAAAAAACCCCTTATAAAATCGGACGGAGGAAATAATA